CAAGAATATGGTAACAGTGTGCATTTCTTCAAAGTTTGATTCAGCCATGTAGTGCTACTTTGAAAACGTGCTTTTCCGAGAGTATTTCGATCGAAAATGGAAAGTAGATAGCATAGCTAAGCATTTGGGATGAAGTCAGTGAGCGATATGAGAAGAAGAGCTATTTGTTGCATATTTACATTTTATTCACACATGCAGATCCTCTTTTCACATCAACCTGTTTGCTATTTGGACGTTATTATAGTGAAGATACAAACATGAAAACGAATTGGTTTCCAAACTTTCGAGAAGCAAAAGAATACTCTCTAGAATACCGAAAACCTTTGAAGGTTTAAAGAATTCTTTTGAGTGATCTAGAAAAACATGACTTTTATTTCGTTCTATATCATTAAAACGTATTTCTATTTATATGAATTGTTAATAGTAAACTATTGTATACGTCAAAGTCAGCAACTATCTTCATGCCTAATCTGTGTGTTTGTTCTTCAAGCCCTGGTACAGCACTGACTAAATGGTATTCTCCTAAAGCAACAGAAATACGTGATAATTTTGAGAAATGTTGTATGAGGAAGAGTAAACAATCGAGACGATAGATTGTGCATGTAAGTTCCTCAATATTTGAAAATACTTGACAAATGTCGGTTAATCTATCATAATCATCCAAAAGTTTGTCATAAAAACTCCCAATGTCTAATTTTCGAATCATTTTATTTAAATATTGGCATAATTGATCATCTTCAAATAAGGATTGTAATATATCTAAATGGATACATAATGATGATAAATGTGGGGCGCCTTTGAGGATTTCTAAGAGTACAGATGGAGTTTCTAACTGAAAAGTATATGGGATATATAATTCTTGTAACGTAGAGAAGTTAACAATCACTTTTAGAGATTGAATATCTTTCGCGGTTAGCAAAAGTGTGTCGATCAGGTCCGGACATCTTAATGACAGTGAAATGACATAGGGAAAATAATACTGACGTTCGTTTCTTAGAGCGTCAGGATTGATTCTCAAATTCGTGACGTTAGCGAATATATTAACGTTGTTGATCAACTCATTTCCACGTCCTTTCGTATGCGGTACTAATGCATATATGGAGAATATGTAAGGTATTGTATAAATCAAAGCTTCATAGTTCGATAATTCATATTCAGTATACCAATGATGTTGTTTACACCAAAAATCACTTTGAAATTGTTTGAATCTCTCTTCAAGACCATTCTTGTTGTTGCCATGGTAATAATAAATTCTAAACTTGAAATTTTTCAACGAAGGTAATGATGAACTGATCAAATCTTCCCATTGGCATGCATCGACTAGATTTTTGTCACTAGAAGCACCCAATGTCAAACTATTTAAATTTGGTGTTTGTTTTAAAATGATTATAAAATCAGAAAAATCATATTCAATATGCTTAATAATTAATTGTTTAAGATGAATAGCATGATGATTAGAAAAATGGTTATTGGTGTCTACACGATTAGATGAATATCGTTGAATGTGGTGTATATTTAAGTATTTTAATTCAGATGCAGTTCTTAAGATTTGAAATAAATCACGTAAATGACATTCCGAAATAGTTAAATTTGTAATCGATGATAATTGGTCTGTAATTTGGAAATCTTTAGATAAAGTTGATAGCATTAATGTATGTAATTGACATGTTGGTAATATGGAAAATATCTCCTTCTTTTCAATTTGAGGATCAATCAGTCGAAAACATGATAGACCAGATAATAATGGTAATGTTGATATCAATTGTATTACATTGCTTTTACTCACTCTAACTAAGGTCAACGATTGAAGATGAGGAAAGTCATCTACTAGCTGGAAGGTAGAGAGGAATGACTGAATTCCATATGTGGTATCTTTGTTTGATAAACGTATTGAGAAAATTTGATTCTTGATTTCTTCATCAGATAACATTTTCTGACAAAATTGATCACATATTAATCGAGGAGTATCTCGAAAATCAAGATGCAAGGGAATACGTCGAATAAGTCTATTGTAACGAGAATTTAATTGATCAAATGAATAAAACATTTGCACAGTTTCGAGATATCGAAAACATTCGATCAAGATTTCGTTAGGTAACAATTCTAATTTGTTGATAGTTTGAATTCTATCCATATTTCGTTGTTAATTATCAGCACTTCATCATACTATTTTTTTGTTTATCTGTATGTTTCATGGACGAATACGCTCGTCCCACGTGATTAGATTAATGTCACGCTTCAGTGCGCATGTTATAGTCAATGTTCTAATATCAATCATACTTTATGTTCTATCAATCCAAATAGTTAATCGTGGAGAAGGATTCTGATCTATGTCAGTAGAAATCTTCATTCCTAATTGATGTGTTTCTTTTTCAAGCCATGACATTTCAGAAATCATAGTCCGTACGTTAAAGATCGTGTCTAGACGTGAGAGTTTTGATAGATGTTGTAAGAGAAAGATCAGACATTTTTGTTCATCGATTGAGCAAGTAAGTTGTTCAAGATTGGAAAATACAAAGAGGATCTGCATGTGTGAATAAAATGTAAATATGCAACAATTAGCTCTTCTTCTCATATCGCTCACTGACTTCATCACAAATGCTTAGCTATGCTATCTACTTTCCATTTTCGATCGAAATACTCTCGGAAAAGCACGTTTTCAAAGTAGCACTACATGGCTGAATCAAACTTTGAAGAAATGCACACTGTTACCATATTCTTG